GGAGCTACTAATAGCTTCTTGTTACTAGTAGCGATGGCCTCCAACCTTATAACGATGGCCTCCACCTAGTAGTCTCTTGCTACTAGTAGCTTCTTGTTCCTAGTAGTAAGGCCAGGAGCTACTAGTAGCTTCTTGCGCCTAGTAGCGATGCCAGGAGCTACTAGTAGCTTCTTGCTACTAGTAGCGATGCCCTTTGTGCCTAGTAGCTTCTTGTGAACTATTCATGAACGTCAGATGAAAGTCCTACAAACGATTGGGGTAGTCGGGTATCTTGTTTTTGATAGTGACGGGAGCTGCAATTTCCGGGTCGTGGGATGATGGGCCGTGGCTTGTGTGACTTGTGCTCGAGAGATGTGCAGAACGGCTTCTCCGAGACCCATCCACAAGTCATACGTGGCACTTTCTCTTGGAGGTCATGGCTCTTAGGTTGAAAAAATCCATCGCTGTTAGGTTGGAGGCTATAGCTATTAGGTTCGAGGCCATCGCTCTTAGGCTGGAGGCAATCGCTATTAAGTTGGAGGCTATCGCTATTAGGTTGGAGGCTATCACTCTTGGGTTGGAGGCTATCGCTAATAGGTTGGAGGCCATTCCTAAGGCTCCGGTAAAGTCCCGGCAAGGAACAAACGCTTTGTACTCAAAGACTCATAGTCTACCCATATCATAAATTCCTCTACCCATTGAATCGAAAGAGAAGAACGGCAGTCTCTCATTTGTTTTCCATGGCTGTTGTGTACACAGTACTACTTTTAATCCATGCAGTGATCATTGCCGATGCCGGTCCCCGTCACGCTGCTTCGCGCTGCTTTTGCTCGAGCGTTTTGCACCGTGTAAGGTCAGAGAATTTGCAGAAGCATCGAAAGGAGATTGAGTCAAGACCCGCCAAAGAGTGGTTCGCATCTCGGTCGCCACTGTCGCATTCGATCTACTCTGACTTAGCTCAGGTTCATCTCAAACAAAGAGAAGCAGAAGCTACAGCGGGAGGACAAGACGCACTTGGATGCTCAAGAGGTTGGAGCTTCATTTGGTTGGAATGATTCATGATTCTCTTCTTCCATCCCGTTCCCACAGGCCAAAGCCATAGAAGAGGAAGAGCATCGAACCAAGAAGAAGAGGCTCGAGGAGGGTAGGTTCCGGAGCAAGAACAAGAAAGCTCCCAGGTGAAATTATGTTTGAACTTAAGATCTGTGTTGCGGTTTGTCTTAACATATCTCAGATTTTTGTTCACTTCTTTTACAGGGGGTCATGAGATTCGTTGAGGAACCTCAAACGACTACACCTGACTTCATTCGGCTGGGGGTACCACTTCAGACCAGTACTGTTGAATCTCTGTCATTTCCAAGATCCGCAAATGAGCCTCAACGGCATTTTTGTCGCAGCTATTTCATACTACTATTCTGATATACTAATTCCTTCAAATTGCTCCTCCAATGGTGCTTGGGCGGCTTTTGTGGCTGCTGCCAATTTTCAGCAGCTTGGATGCATTTTTGGTCAAGGCCAGGTCCATGTTGCGATTGAACAAAGTGAGTGCTTTGGCTGCCCAAGGTCTAGCCCTTGGCGAGGAACTGCCAGCCGATGACACATGCAAGAGCTCCGAAGAGGGCGATTGCAGTTTAGAATTGAGACAACTACGGGCTCACAAAGTTGACATGGCTCAAGAGGGTGAGACGGAGACAGAGCCGGTGTCCTTCGTATTGCCCTGTACAGAGCCATCCGCTTACGAGGGGATTCAGCTTGCCGAAGTGGATGAGCAAGAGGATCGTGAGACCCAAGACGGCGATGATTGTTTCACTTCAGGCGTCTATTGGCGAGAGAAGAACAGGGCAATCACGATGCCTGGCACCCATAGAACCAAGAAGTCTTCGCCTGAAAAATGTCAGGCTTTGTGTGCCAAGACCACAGGTTGTGGGCATTTCTCTTTTTGGAGTGATGGCGGTTGTCTTCTGACCTCGAGTAGTGCATATGCTGTGAAGCACAGTGGAGTTCTTTCAGGCGAAGCTCTCGACGTCGTGTCTCGGATCCGTCGGATCGAAAGGCGGTCAGTGACACCATACGAACGCGCTGCCTCCAACCTGCGAGCGATGGCCTCCAACCTAGGAGGGATGGCCTCCAACCTACGACCTCCAACCTAGGAGGGATGGCCTCCAACCTACGACCTCCAACCTAGGAGGAATGGCCTCCAACCTACGACCTCCAACCTAGGAGGGATGGCCTCCAAC